CGGCCGCCGGCTCCGCACGCCGTGCTTCCACCTTCCCCGGAGCCGCTGTGTGACCTTGCGCGCGTCCCCTCCGTCTCTGGGTCGCGGAGCTCCTGTCTGTCAAATGAGGGGGAACTGGACGTCGTTCTCCAAGGTTCTTCCCAGTTCCCAAAACCCATTGAGCGTGCTTGGCGAAGAGGAGCGGGAACTGGCACGCATCGCCTTTGGGGCGCGTGCGACCCCCGGGGTCGTTGGATGTCGGCCTGGGTTTGTCCTCCGGCGTAACGTTTATCTCTAGGAAGCGCTCCGTGGTTGACTTTGCATTTTCTGTTTGCTCAATTTTACTGGAAGTCCACAATCCAGCGTTTGTAGTTTCGAAATCCGAAGACCGCTAAAGCCCAAATATGTGTATTTTAAAACTCATTTAGCAGCAGTCTTTAACCTGAAGTCATTTGGCAGAAAATCTGACTTGAACATTCTTTTGTCCATGTTGTGGCCGTCTTCTCCTTTGTTTTGTTTGTTTGTTTGTTTTTGTTTTTGAGACAGTCTTACTCTGTCGCCCCAGCTGGAGTGCAATGGCGCGATCTCCGCCCACTGCAACCTCCATCTCCCGGGTTCAAGCGATTCTCTTGCCTCAGCCTCCTGAGTAGCTGGGGCTACAGGTGCCGCCACCACGCCTGGCTAATTTCTGTATTTTTAGAGACGGGGTTTCACCATGTTCGTCATGCTGACCTCGAACTCCTGACCTCATGATCCACCCGCCTCGGCCTCCCAAAGTGCTGGGATTACAGGGGTGAGCCCCCGCGCCCGGCCGTCTCCTCCTTTTTCAAGGCCCTGTTCAAATAGCTCCTAGCTGTTGTAGCTTTCCTTCATTTTCCTCACCTTATCTTCGCAGTGTCTTCATGAGATAGGTACTGCTATTCCCATTTTACAGATGAGGGAGTTAAGGCACATAGATTGAGAAACTTGCTTAAGGTTAGGCTAGGTGGACATCAGGTTTTTTGCATCCATATCACCTGGCTCCAAAGCCTGTTTTTTGTTTTTGGTAACAGCTTCCTTGTTGAGACATTATTCACATACCCTACAATGAATCCATTTAAGGTGTACATTTCAGTGGTTTTTAGTATATCACCAGAGCAATGCAGCCATTATAACCACTACAAAAAGAAAACCTGTGCCTTTTAGTTGTCACTTCCCAGCTTCCCGTTGGCCTCCAGCACAACCACTGATGTGCTTTCCCTCTCTCTGTAGCAAGACTTTATTGTATGAATACCACATTTTGTTTATCTGCTCATCAGTCGAACATTTGAGTTGTTTCCACCTTTTGGCTCTTAGGCCTATTTTGCTAGAAACATTTGTGTGCAATGTTTTTGCAAGTATATTTTTATTTCTGTTGGGTGTATACGTAGGATTGTAATTGCTAGGTCATATGGAAACGATGTTTAATGTTTCTTTAACTCCCTTCTGTCGCCCTGGCTGGAGTGCAGTGGCACGATCATGGCTCACTGCCGCCTCCATCTCCTGGGCTTAATCCATCCTCCCACCTCTGCCTGCCGAGTAGTTGGGACTACAGGTGCATGCCACCATGCCCAGCTAGTTTTTCTTTATTTTTTGTAGAGTGGGTCTCATTATGTTGCCGAGGCTGGTCTCTAACTCATGGGCACAGGCAATCCTCCCGCCTCGGCCTCCCAAAGTGCTGGGATTATAGGTGTGAGCCACCATGCTGAAACATAGGTTTAGGTGTCAAGGAACTGCCAAACTGTTTTCCAAAGCTGCACCATTTTACATTCCCACTAGCAGTATATGAGGCTTCCAATTTCTCTACTTCCTTGCCAGCACTTAATGTCTGTCTTTTTGACTATAACCATCTTAGTGGATGTGGGTTTTTTTTTATTTTATTTTTTTGTTTTTTTGTGGGTTTTTTTGTTTTTTTGTTTTTTTGTTTTTTGAGATAGGTTCTTGCCCTATTACCCAGGTAGAAGTGCAGTGGCACAGTTGAAGCTCACTGCAGCCTCAACCTTTTGGGCTCAGGTGACCGTCCCACTTCAGCCTCCTGAGTAGTTGGAACTACAGGTGTGTGCCATTATGCCTAACTAATTAAAAAAAAAAAATTTATAGAGACAGGGTCTCACAATGTTGACCAGGCTGGTTTTGAACTCCTGGGCTGAAGCAGTCCTCCTGCCTCAGTCTCCCAAAGTGCTGAGATTACAGGCATGAACCTCCATACCTGGCCAGCCCAGTGGATGTGAAGTGGTATCAGTTTGTGGTTTTGATTTACATTTCCCTTATGAATAAGAAGCATATTATCATGTGCTAATGGCCATTTATATATATATATATATATTTTTTTTTTTTGAGAAATAGCTATTCAAATATTTTGCCCACTTTTATATTGGGTTGTCTTTTTATTGTTGAATTGTAGGTATTCTTTATGTTTTCTAGGTACAAGACCCTTATATCAGATATATGATTTGCAAAATTTTTGTCCCATTCTGTGTGTTGTCTTTTCACTTTTTTGACAGTATTTTTGAAGCCACAAGTTTTACATTTTGATGAAGTCTCATTTATCTATTTTTTTTTCTTTTTGTTTCTGTGTTTTCATGTAAGAAGCCATTGCAGAATCCAAGGTCATGATGATTTACCTCTATGTTTTCTTCTAAGTTTCATCATTTTAGCTTTACCTATAAGTCTTTGGTCCATTATGAATTTGTTTTTACGTATGGTGTGAGGTAGGGTGCCAGCTTCATTCTTTTACATGTTGATATCCAGTTGTCCCAGCACCACTTGTTGAAAACATGATTCTTTCTTCATTGAATGATCTTGACACACTTGTCAAAAATCACTTGCCCATAAATGTTGTGTCAGATCCTGTTCTGGAGTACCACACTGTGTGAGGGGGTACACAGTACAGTCAGCCTGGTGCTGCAGGGGTTCCAGAGGGAAGGGGGAACATTGTAGGATCGGGGAGGCTTCACTAAGAGGTGATGTTTCAGGCAAACAGAGAACCTTGCAGAGACACAGAAGTATGCGAGAGCACAGTAGGTTCAAGACTGACTACAAGCCTGGCATGGCCAGAGGGAAGGTGGAGGAGAGAAAGGTGGGGCAGCAGGCTGGTGTGGAAGCTTGGGGCCATGTGGCAGGCCTGTAGGCCATGCTGAGGAGTTTTGACTTTGTTCTGAAGGTAGTAGGGAGCCAGAGAATAATCTGTCAGAGCTGCGAAGTGACCAGACCTTTTATTTTAGAAAAGCCGTGAAGCAGAGGGGGAGAGATTGAAAGTAGGAAACCTGCTAGGAAACTTGTTACTCTGTGGCTGAGTGGTGATGAGGCGTGAGCAAAGAAGGGGCTTTGAGGCCACAGGAAAAGGTACAGCTGGCAGGTGGATTGATTTTTGAGGAGACTGAAGGGCTTGGTAACTGGCTGGATGTGAGGGTGAAGGGAGAAGATGAGGTATGATGTCAGCTACTTGACAAGTTGCCCTGGAGCCCAGAAATTACTTATTCCCTTGTCTTGGTTCTTTATTCTATAGATATATTTTGTGGGTGTTACTGTTTAAAATGTTCCTTTTCGTGTAGAAATGTATCTTAATTTTTTTTTCCCCCAATTTGCAGGTCATTTATTGGGGAGGCAGCGTTCCCTAAGCACCTTACCAGCAGCTTCCATTTTGGCGTGGAAGACTGCTCTGAGCAATGGTGAGATTCATTAATGCTACCACCTTTTCTCTTAAGATGTAATGTCGGAGTAGTTTCTATAGTTTTTAAAAATATAAGTAATCACCTGCTTTTTTCTTTTCTTTCTTTTTCATTTTTTAGCCTGGTTAGTCTTACTTCAATAATTGCATTCTTTATGATACAAATACATAGGCTCTGAAGAGTATTTTCAAGATTTCTTATGATTGCAATTGTTATAGTTCAAGGCTTTACAAAATAGTAACTAAACGATTACGGGGTAGTTTCTGTGTATTAGGCTTAGAGCAGGGACAATGAAGAGTTGAATTTTCAATTTACCAATGGTTATGTTAATTGAAAATTGAACCCTTCATTGTCCCTGCCTTCTCCAACATAGTTATAAGCACAATTTTGATTGAATCTCTGGTCAGTGTTTTTATTATTAAGTTTGTGTATGTATTTATAGCTGAGTTAGGTAGAATTCTATCATTACATTTTTTTTCTTTTTCCTACAACAATTGTTGTAGGAAAAAGAAAAAAATTAGTATCCTTAGTATCTATTACAGTATTTTTCTAAATGCTGCAATAGATTGGTCAGACAAATGGCAATAGTTTTCTAAAATCTCTCAAACACATCGCTGATCAGCTGGTTTGATTAAATAGATGAGATTTCAATTAGGAGGAAGCAGTTCATCGTAGTGAAAACTGTAAATAGTGAAAACTGTAAATGCTGAAACGGAATCCTCCTTGGGGTCAGACTATGTGTCTTTTTTTTTTTCTTTTTGAGATGGAGTCTTGCTCTGTTGCCCAGGCTGGAGTGCAATAGCTTGATCTTGGCTCACTGCAACCTCTGCCTCCTGGGTTCAGGTGATTCTCCTGCCTCAGCCACTCAAGTGACTGGGACTACAGGCATGTGCCACCACACCCAGCTAATTTTTGTATTTTTACATAACCCACAGGAGGGTGCTTTTTGGGCTCAGCCCATTTTGGATTCCAGGGCAATTGTTTCCTAAGATGGGGACTTCATGGTCTGAAATTAATAATTCAGAGAATAAGAACAAAACCCAAACTGATAATTGATCATTGATGGATAATCTATAACTGAGTAATTTAGCATAAGCTGATGCCACCTCCTGTTTTAAAAATTATAACACATTTTAAACAAAGTCAGTTGTAGTAACAGTGTATTTTAAGTGACTGTTTCTCAATTCTAAAGTCAATTTCTTTCTGCTTTTGACAGTTGGACCTTTTAAGGTACATTATTAGCTGGGGAAGTATTTCAGGCTTTCAAAAAAAGTTAAAGAATTCTACATTTGTTAGTAATGATTTTACACTTTTTGAAGTATGTCAGAGATTGCAGTACTAAACAGTACAAGATTAAATATCTTATTTAATATTAATATAAATAACAATATTAAGTAAGATATTTTGTTGAAAATTAAAGAGCTGGCCAGGAGCGATGGCTCACAGTTGTAATCCCAGCACTTTGGGAGGCTGAGGCAGGTGGATCGTGAGGTCAAGAGTTCAAGACCAGACTGGCCAACATGGTGAAACCCCATCTCCTACTAAAAATACAAAAATTAGCCGGGTATGGTGGCGGGCACCTGTAATCCCAGCTACTCGGGAGGCGGAGGCGGGAAAATCGCTTGAACCTGGGAGGCAGAGGTTGCAGTGAGCTGACACTGTGCCATTGCACTGCAGCCTGGGTGACAAGAGCAGAACTCCGTCTCAAAAAAAAAAAAAAAGAAAATTAAGGAGCATGCAAGAAAAGCTAAAGCTAAAGTGTGTGCTGCATGACGGAATTTAGAATGATGAAGTCCTGAGTTTAAAAATGAAACGCCAGTATGTCCTGTCTACTTTTTATTGACTAGTTCATTGAGTGCGCTGAGAGGGAACTCAGCGTGTCATCTCCCTGCCTCTGTGCGGTTGAGTAACTCATCTGGAATCAGAACTAGTGCTTAAATCCCAGCTACTAACTAGTCTTGTGACTTTTGGCAAGTCCCTAACCTCATAGGCCTAAGTTCATTTTGTAAAATGAAAAGATTGGATTAAATAATCTAATTTAATTAGATCATTTAAATTAATTAAAAGAGGAATAACCTCCTTTTAATTAGATATTTAAATGATTTTAAAGATCATCTAATTTAATTAAAAGGAGATTATTCCTTTATTTCTTAGTGTGTCTATGCAATGGAGATATTTTGATAGCCTGCTGTAACCATTTAATACTACTTGTTATTGCCACGTAAGATCATTGCTGGTGTATGGCCCTCTGTGGCCATAAAGCAGCTGTTACCGTCTTCTTCATAACTTCACATAGACTTGAAAATAGCTGTTGTTGTCACTGTTTGGTTTTCTTTTTTTAAGCCAAGTATTCTTAAATAACCTTTTTTTTTTCTTTCTGAAGGGTTGTTTTAATTCCCTTCACTTCTCTTGGAGTCACTAGTTTCTCTATTGAAATGCAAAGCTTAAGGGTGTGTGCACTGTTTTGGTTAGCAATGTTCCCATTTCTTCACATGCACTAATTCTCAGCTCCCCCCTTCCTCACAGGACTTTACCCTCCATGAATTGATTAGCTGCTGCCTCTAAGACATGGATGTTTAAACACTTTTTAAGTAATATATGCGCTGGATGATAACAATTCCAAAAAATAACAAAAAAAGCAAGTCCCTCATACCCAGTTTTAAATGTATCAGATTTCTTCCCCAGAGGCAACCGTTGTTTCCAGGTTTTCTTACATACTTCTGGGTTAGTCTGTGAAATGCATTCACACCCGCTCCTTGTTTTTTAACAGGAAGAGTAGGATGGTGGACATGCTCTCTGCACCTTGCTGTTCTGACCAGGCCAGTTGCAGGTCTTTCCGAAGAGTGTGTTGTTGGCCGCATACAGCAGAGGGCGCCGTTTGCCCAGCGTGGACTGCTCACCTAGGCTAGCCAGTGCAGTGCTGAAACCCTGGGATGGACAAATCTTCTTCTTTACCCAGCTGCACCCATTGTGCAGATGAACTATAACTTTCCCAGCTAGGCTGGGCATTTAGGTTGTTGTTGGTCAAGAGTTTTGTTTTATTTTTAAAAGAAAGACTGCCCTAAAAATCTGATTCTTAAAAGTTCAGGATTTTAGTGACTTATTTTTATTAGTAATGATTGTTTGATGCTACCAGTGTTTTTCCACAGCCGCGAAACATCTGACTCAAAGTTTAACCCCTCTGCCTACAGGCTGTTTGTCATCACTGGGAACCAGAGACACCCGTCCCTACGCCAGCTTGAGCCACGCACTGCAGACACAATGCTGTGTTTCTTCTCCCAGTCACCTGATGGGCCAGCAGTATAGACCATATAGTTTCTTCACTAAATGTATGTAGAATGGCCACAAACTTCCTGTTTCTTGAAAGAGGAAAAGAATTTCTTATATCTGAATTTTTCTTCTTTTTTACATGAATTAAGATTTTAGTGATTAGTTTACAATGTACTGTCAAAATGAAAATGTTCCTTGATGTACGTCCTAGAATTATCTCAAATGCTACCAGTTGTATTTTGGGGAGTACTAGTTTGCTTAGGCCCCTTGTTTGGGGCACCTGAGGCCTGAAGGATATTGAATCATGGCCCATATCTCTTGCTGACTTAGATTCACACCAAGAAGATACTCATGTTTTCATTTGTGCCTTAGTTGAGGAGACAGGACATCTAATTGGAAAAAGTTAATTTTAAGGAGATATACTGTTCACTAACGCTACTCTTATTTGTGATAGCATTTAAAAGAGTCTAATCTGAACTGAGACTGGCTTCTCAGGGAATAAATGGAGATTGAATTTAAACTCCGCATTAGCAGATTAAAATAAATTAGCATTGGCCGGGTGCGGTGGCTCACACCTGTAATCCCAGCACTTTGTGAGGCCGAGGCGGGTGGATCACTAGGTCAGGAGATCGAGACCATCCTGGCTAACACAGTGAAACCTCGTCCCTACTAAAAAAACAAAAACAAAATTAGCCGGGCGAGGTGGCGGGCACCTGTAGTCCCAGGGAGTCCCCGGTACTCGGGAGGCTGAGGCAGGAGAATGGCGTGAACCCAGGAGGCGGAGTTTGCAGTGAGCCGAGATTGCGCCACTGCACTCACTCCAATCTGGGCGACTGAGCGAGAGTCCGTCTCCAAAAAAAAGAAAGAAATTAGGATTATAAAGGCAATTCATGATTAGTTTAGAATATTTGGTAAATACAGAAAAAAAGAAAAAAGATAATCACCTGTATTCCTACTATGAAATACTGAGTTTGTTGGGTTTTTTTTCTTTTTGGAGACGGAGTCTTGCTCTGTCACCAGGTCAGAGTACGGTGGTGCAATCTCGGCTCACCGCAACCTCTGCCTCCCAGGCTCGAGCGATTCTCCTGCCTCAGTCTCCCAAGTAGCTGGGACTACAGGCACGTGCCACCATGCCCAGCTAATAATTGTATTTTTAGTAGAGATAGGGTTTTACCATGTTGGCCAGGATGGTCTCTATCTCTTGACCTCGTGATCCGCCTGCCTCAGCCTCCCAAAGTGCTGGGATTACAGGTGTGAGCCAGTGCGCCTGGCCTGCTGCTTTTTTCAATGTAGTAATACATTGCATTTTTGCATGGATTTCTGCAGTGCAACAATATGACCATAGAGTATTTCATTGTATGGATACAGCTCACTTTAATTTGGAAGTCTCCTGGTAACGAGGTCATTTGTGTAGCGACAACACAGAAAAGACTTGGTGGAGGATTAAGCAACGTAGGCTTAGTTGAACCTGCAGATTCCAGTACAGAGAAAAGAGAGATGGACAGAGTTGGGGCCTTTAGTCTCTCCACTTGGTATGCATAGCCCCAGTTTTTTCTAAGAGATGACTTTGTACTTTAGTGGGTATATCAGATTTACAAGCCTTGGGAATTTTTATTTAT